TTAAATTGCAGTGCTTCTCTTCATGCCCCTCCCCCACATCATAATAACAAAACCTCTGTCTTTCCCTTAATTATCTCCCCATTTAAAAAAAAATCCTCAACATGCTGAAGTCTTATGAGCTTTTCCCTGATATCATGAAGATACCAATAGGGCAATTGGGAGCTGTCCACTTCTTATCCCTGATTTTGGCCAAATGACCATCTAGTCTTTTTTCAGTCATACATTTCCCTAATGGTAACCTTTACTCAGTTCATCTTTGAAGATTCTTTTTTTTTTTTGGTGGTTATTCATTGTAACCTGCTCGTGCCTACCATGGGCCTATTTATTGCTTTCTGTGTAGTGCTGATTTCAGGGTCTGTAGGGTTCCATAATTCACAGCCATACTGCAACATTGATGGAATAATTTTGTTTAAAAAAATTGACCTTTGTTTCTGGGACCATTTGTAGGTCATTAAAGGAATTTTTCAGTTCCCTGAAGGCAACTCAGCTCACTGGCTGCCTCTTGTTTAATTCCAGATCGTTCTTCTGTGCCAAATGTATATAGCAATGGACAAACTCTGTAAGTTATTCTAACGGTATTTTATATTGTTTGGGAAGTGAGCATTCTTCAGTTGTTTGGTTTTTTCAGTGTGGATAGCAATATAGATACCTTTTAGGAAATTTACAATGTTCTGGGGCTTAATAAAATCAGCATTAATGTCATCCTCAAACTGGAGGACCTCACCATTCTCTTCAATTTGGACTCTTCACCAGATATCAACTAAGACAGTGGGGTCCACCTTTGGCAATAGTACACCTCCCTCCCTGCCTTATGCCTAACCTGAATTTGTGATCAGAAAGTCTTTTTTTTTCTTCCAAGATTCTTTGAAAGACTTTTTTTTTTAGTGTTTGGATGAGATACATCTTGTTGGAAGAGAGCTTTGGAAAGAATGTTTTGCTCTAATGAAGCAAATTTTTTTAGTAATCAGGAAATAATCAGTATAGTCATATCTTATATCTTTCACATCTTTCATTCAAGTGAGTGATGGAAACGAGATGTGGTCTATCATGTAATACAATTTGTTAAAGCCTGTCTTTGCCATAGAGATACCTTCATGGAGTATGCCCTCAATGCCTATATGTAGGTCATTCTCATAAAAACTCAATGTAAATGAAAGATTAGGTATTTTGGTTGGTGATGATTATTCTGAATCACCCCCTCTCTCCCCCCACACACCCAATTTTAATAAAGGGAGCCATATAAAGAATTCATGACAGCTGGCATCTGGGCCCCCAGGGACAGCCATATTGAAGTTTATAGACACTCTGGAAAGTGTTATTCTTAGCATCCTCTGGTCCATTTTTTGCCATTTAACTCCCCTCAATGAGGACCTCTTAGCTAGTCTGGACCTTGGAAAGGAGACCTAGTCTGTGTGCCAAATGATAGCTGAAGCCTTGTCCATGTGATAGAAGCAGCTTTTCAAAATCCAAGGTCACCTCCATGCTGTGGTGAAGCATTGAAATAGGACTTGGTGGGTATGTCTGTGTCTAGTATCTTTAAAATCCTTTCAGACTAGAATTACCAAAGTTTATGATTAGATCCTAGGAGTCCTTCGTTGGTTCTTTTTTTATTTGTTTGTTTTTGTTTTTGTGTTTTTGTTTTTTAAGAAGGGATTTAGACAGATGATATTGGACCTTTGTAACGATAGGCATCTGGAGTTTCTCAGTATTGATAGAAACTTTACATTTGCCAAATGACTGTTGATGTAACTATTTTTGTTACGGCCATACCCTGAATGAGCAAATAATTCACTGTCCTTACCCCAGCTTAAAAAATGAGACATCTATGGTACAAAGTGAACAAAGGCTTGACTCATCCTTATCCTAACAGAAAAACTGTCAAATTTTGAATTTCTTTGGAAAATTTGGAAACATTATTTTTCATGTTCTCTACAACCCTTACTTAAAAAGTGACTTTCTGGGGCAGCTAGATGGCGTAGTGAATAGAGAACTAGTCCTGAAGTCAATGGAGGACCTAAGTTCAAATCCCACCTGACACTTGACACTCCCTAGCTGTGTGACCCCCAGCAAGTCACTTAACCCCAATTGCCTCACTTCCCCCCCAAAAAAAGGTGACTTTCTAAACTTTGTCTATTAAATATTTTTTAATTTAATTTTTTTCAATGAACAAAAATCAGTTTTTATTCCTCTTCCAATCCTGTGCACAAAATTGGGAGAGGGGAGTGAGAACAGAACCCTTGTAATGAAATAGCAGTCTGGCAAAATAAATTATCGAATTGGTCACTTCCCAGAAGTATGTTTTATTCTGCACTCCAAGTCCATCTGAGGTGGTTGGCATACTTCATCCTTAGTGTTTTGAAATTAGAATTGGTCATTGTATGGATCAGAGATTTTAAGTTTTTCCAAATCTAGATTTTAATTTTTATTATAGTGCTTGGCAAAATCTCTACAGTGTTCACCTTTTTTTTTCTTCCAGGCAGACTTGCTATAGAATTGTCACAACTGTTCCTGTGTGATATTAAATGTTTAATTAACAAATTACTTAGCATCAGGTGTTGTGGGTCTTTTGCCTTCCCAGAAAAGGGAAGCTATTTGGTGGGGGCTGAACCCCTTGGATGCACAGAGTGATTTATATTCTGGGATCCATCGTGCTGGAAGAGAGATTACTGTCCTTTACTTTCTTCCTTGCTGACCTAGTCAAGTCTTGAGAAAGAGGATCAAAACTATTTACATATAGAGGAAAGGAAGGTGAAAATGAGTAAAGGATGAACTAGTAAAGGAAAAGTCTAACTTGGCCACCGTTCATAAAGGAGATTGCATTGTCTGTATTTACATTCTCGGTCTTCTAAAGCAAAGTTTGTCAAAGATTTTGAAGGGGAAGCTGGGAAGTGAATTTCCTAAGAATTGATAAAGGGAAACCATAGCTAAGTACACAAAGAGAAAAGCCCTTTTCTCTTTTTCAAAAAGGGTGAGAAACCATAGTTAGGGAATAATTATTACTTACAAGAATTTTTTTAAGGTTTCAAAGTACCTTCCTTACAAAAAACCCTTTGAGGTTAGTAATGAAGGCATTATTATCCCTGAGTTACTGAGGAGGATTCCAAGACTCAGCAAGAAATGGCTCACCCTCTCACAAAACCAAGTGTTTATTTAAAAGCTTGGCCTCAGGCCTCCTGATGCTGTGTTGGTTATACTACTATCGCCCTTGCTTCCTCTTGCTGAGGGCAAAATTAGGAGCCATTTTCTATTTATAGGACCCTGAAAAACCTAATAATCCCAAAGCACTTTTTTGTTTTTGTCCCCAAGGTTTATTCAACTCCTGCGGGGCTCATGCCCCTTTAATAGACAGACATCTGTAAAGGACTGTCTTCCAAATATCCTATCTTCTAAGTCTCAAATGTGGAACCAACCGATTCTTCACAGAGGGAATCAAAGTTTAAGAGATTTAATGGAGTCCTAAGCAGAGTGATCATCAGAGATTGCAAGCCTGGAGTGATTTCTCACATTCTGCTCTATGCTAAATGGCCTTCCTATGGTGCCTCCTCTGAGGAGGCTTCCTGTCATTTCCCCCCTTTGAGTAACCAAATTAACTGGATTATCATTATTATTATTACCATTATCATCATCAACTGCATTGCTGGTGGTGTGCTGGGTGTTGCATTCCCCATCTCTTTGCCTGCCTGCCTGACTTCCTTCCTTCCTTCTTCAATTTTCAAGGTTCAAGTAATGAGAGAGGTCTATATTCTTTGTAATTTTTTTTTGTATATATTCTTTGTATCAGTCTGGGACCCTACTGACGATTTTTCTCAAGAATTTAATGTACTTTTTTTTCATTCTTGGCATCTTTATTTTTTAATTGTATCACTATATTTTGCTTTTCATGTCTCAATCTATTCCCCATCTAGGATCATCTTTTATAAGCAAGAAAAAAGGAGGGGGAGGTAGGGAATGAGCAGTTCACCAAAACTAAACACATTAACCAAATTCAGTGGTATAAGGTGTCCTAAAAGTCTTAGTGCGTAAGGTAGTGAAACTTTAAACTGCACTAAGATTTTTTGGGACACCCTTGTATATTCCACAGTCATTGTCCCCCTACTTCTGCAAAGAAAGGAGGAAGGTGTATTCTAAAATCTCTTTGAGGCCAAGATTAATCATTATAATTGCATTGCTTTGGATTTCTTTTTGTTCTCTGCATTTTCAATTTTTTTTTACTTAAATTTCATTTTACTTTTGAATTGACCCACTCAACTTTCAAGTTGTCTGTTCTCGTATTCACCACTTTTTAACATTGAGAGGACTCATTTCTCTTAAATATCCCTTTCTCCAAGGAATAGAAGAGAGAGTTAGCAAATATTCGAATTCAAAAATTCCTTTGAACCACTATATGGCTCTGGAAAGGAAAGCTGGGGATGGGGGGAAGAAAAAGGGAGGGGGTTCCGGTTTCCTATTGTTAGGTGTCTTAACTGGGTGATTCATTGGTCTCCCATGTCTATAGAGCATGCAAGCAAGTGCAGTCAGCTGCTACCTGCTGCCTTCTCACTCTTGTGAGCACTAAATGGCTTTGTGTCACTGGGAGTGTGATATGTTTGTTGCATGCTGATCTAGGTTTCATATTTTAAAGCTATTTATAAACTTGAACCTTGCCCCCTGGGAAAGGGCCTGCAGTTCACAACCTCTGCATTTCCATGGTCTAAGCCAGGAGGAAAAAAAATGAATCTTCTAGTCATGTATGAATTTTTGAGAGGTATAATTTGCCCTCCCACATTTAGTTGGTCTAATGTACCATTTCTGCTAAACAAAGAAAGGGCTGACTAATGCTAGAATAATTTAATGATGATTTCAGTGAATGCAACCTTTGAAAGGACAAGGTTTATCTCTCTTATTAGAATGAGGCAAAAAACATCCTGTGTTACATGCAAGCTGTCCAGCTGCTCTGCAGTCCCACCCACCCCTTCCCCATTCCCATGAACTTGACACTGAAGTATTTTATCTCCTGGCAGGCAGGTGACATGAAGGGAGCCTGGCTTCACTCCTGAAGAGAGTTTCCCAGTGGCGGAAGTGAGTGTGAAATGCTTACCCTGGCTCTCCCATGAACAAGCAGTTACCCGAAGGCAAGATGACCCTGGAGTACAGGAATGTCTGTGTCCTGCTGCCCAACCGAGATCAACTCAGGTTAAGCATTGGGGTGAGTCTTTCCAGTTTCCTCCACTTGGTTTGGGACAGGGGCTGAAACAGGCGGCTTGAATTCTGGCAGCTGAAGGGAATGAGACAAAAGGGCAGAAAATGTTCAAATTGTAACGTCGCAAGAAAAGTTAAGCTCTTTAGTTAATTGACTCTTAGCTTCTGGCAGTATCTGGGGTTTGCCTCTTGCTGGCTACCCCTGGGAGACGCACAGGATTAAAGCTCTCTTAATGTATCCTCTGTAACTGATCTACTTTGGGGCAATTTTTAAATTTCTCTCCAGTCTTCAAAATGGTTATCTATTAAAAATAGGTACTGGGGCCACTGACCTGACCCTGAGATGGGGCGATCAGGAGAAACAGAGCTATCCAAAAGCAGCTGGTTGTCAGTGAATGCCTGTGCTCCCTAAGGAAAGCAACACAGGCTTGTGTCACACCTGACATATTTGCTTAGTTTTTGGAGCTGTGGTTATCCTCAGAATCTCAGCATTGGAGCAGAGTTCAGAGACCATTGCTTCAAGCCCTCCAGAGAAAGGCAGCTTCCTGCCTCCCAAGGCAGCCCTTTCTACTTTGGTATAACTGTAATTGGTAATTAGTGTTGGTACTGCATCATCTATGGCCATATAGAACATCACAGCCTTTAAAACACTATGATGGTGCGCTGCCCCCACCCCACCCCAAGTTTTCTGTTATTCAGGCTATAAACATCCCGAGTTCCTTCAACTCATACTCATGGCATGTGTAGGCAACTCATCACACTTCTGACTTCCTCTAGATCAAGAGTTCTTAACCTGGGGTTCATGAACTTTCGTGGGGAAAAAAAATTACACGTTTTATTTTTTTCCACTAAAAATATTATTCTGAGCAGTTCAGAAGTTTCATTAGACTACCCAAAGGGTCTATAACTCCAGATGTTTTTCTCCTCTCCTTTAACTTTTTCTTTTCTTCCTCCCCATCTTGCACATTATGGCTTGAATTGCTTCATTCTGTTCTTTGTGTTTGTTTTGTGTGTCTTTATGGGAGTAACATGCCATCTGTGCCCTAGCATTCCAGAGAAGTGGTCTTACAGCCATGAGATCCATCGCCAAAGCTTGGCATTTCTTTTTCCTCTTCCTTCCTGACTCTCAAGCACTGTCAGCTTTCATTTCCTATATCTCCAATCAAGTAATCTTTGAGTACCCAAAATCTCATTATTAGGATCCATTTATAGCTTTTTAGAATTTTATTTGTATTGATAATCTTTGTTTTTACATCACTTTCATTTATGCCTATAGCCCCGAATGTACAAATTCATGATTTCATGTACGATCTCTTTTTGTTCATTGCATCTTGAGATGGTCATGTTGATGTTTAAGTTCATAATAAAAATAAGAATTTATTTTAAAAAGTTACATAAATATTGCTAAGTTCTGTATTATCATTTACACAGCAGTGTTGGATAGTAGATGAGAGCTGGTTTCAAAACCAGAAACATTTGAGATCCAAGCCTCTCCTCCAGCATGTATTTGATGAATGACCCTGAGCAGGTCAATTAACCCCTCAAGGCTCTAGGCCACTCTGTAAAGACAGCACTTCAAAGTGTGGTCCAAGGACCTTTTTTGGGGGAGGGGGTGAGTCCCCAAGGTCAAAATCACTTTTATAATAATGCCAAGATATTATTTATTTAATTATTAAGGTACTCCTTTTCCCAACTACCTATTTGTTTGAAGCCAGATTTTCTTAATATACTTTGACCAAAATGACATATTGAGCAGGTTGAATATAGATGCAGATATGGGAATCCAGCTGTCTTTTGTTAAGCCTGACATTAAAGAGATTTGTAAAAATATATAAAACAGTGCTGCTCTTTTCACCATTATTTTTGTTTTGGAAAATTTAGTTATTCATAAAAATGTTACTTATGTTAACATGTAATAGGTTTGTTATTCTTATTTTGAAACAAATTAATAAATATTTTAAAAATATCAGTTTGAAATTCCAGTACAGTAAATATCTGTAGATATAGCCTACATTAATAAAAGCTCTTTGGGGTATGACTGTAAAAATTTTAAGAGTATAAAGGGGTCCTGAGACCAAAAGGTTTTAAGATTGGTGCTTACAATAATTTTCAGAGAAGATACTGACCTGAATTAATAGAGGGAGTTTCCTCACCTGGAAATCACCGTTTCAGTTCCTACTGCTGTAAATAAAAGTACATTTTAGATTAAAGAAGTTTTTATAGATTTACCTTGGAGGTTTTTTATCATGTATGAAATTATTCTTCTGGGAAAACATGTTTCAAGGTCTAGTTGACAGACTTTTAAGAATTTTTAGAGAAGCAGTGTTGTACCATTGGATAGAAAACTGTCTTCAGAGTCAGGGAGACCTTTAATATATACTGGCTTGGCTGTGTGACCCTGGGCAAATCACTTAGTATATCAGGACCCAAGACTGGTGGCTGGTCTGCCCTTATAGAGACTGTGGGTTCAGTACTGAGAATTTCCCATCAATGAAATCACAAATCTGTACTCTCCCTCCAAAGTAACTTTTTGACATAACCTAAAGTTGGTGATTCCCTGTATTTCTCTTCTTTCTGGCTATTGAAATATCGAAGGTGGCTATGTTTGAGTGATAGAACTATGTTGTTGTTTTTCCTTTCCCCCCCTATCTTCTGCTACTTCTTTGCCACTCTTCCTTTTTTTTTCTCCCTAATTTAACCCCTATCTTAAAAGATCTAGTTAGTTCTTTGGAGACAGAGTTTCTTGATTAGTGACAAAAAAAACAACAACAACTTTCCAACCACATTTTGTTGAATTACGGAATAGAGTTATAAATATCCATGTCAGTGAGATGTGTCCGTGTCCCTTTTGGTGGATGGTCCAACACTCAAGGTGCACAGAGAATATGGAGTAGTAGTTTCCAGTTAGCAGTCAATAAGCATTTGTTGAGGAGATGATTAACACAGTGAAGGCTGCTAGCATTAAGGGTTTTTTGTAGAAGGTAGACTTTTACCTGGGACTTAAAGGAAGCCAGGAGGCAGAAATAAGGAAGGAGAGCATTCCCAGTATGGGAGACAGTCATTGAAAGTATCCAGAGCTGGGAAATGGAATGTCTTATTCAAAGAATAGCGAGGAGGCCAATGTCACCGGATCACAGAATATATGGCATTTGGGGTGGGGCCTACAGTTAGGATCTAAGAAGACTAGAAAGATACAATGGGACCAGTTTGTAAAGAACTTTGAATGTCAAATAGAGGATTTTATATTTCATCATGTAGGTAATAGAGAGTTTACAAATAGGAATGGGGAGGGATGTGTGACACGGTTAAATCTTCACTCTAGGAAGATTTATTTGACAGTGGAGTGGGTGAAGGGTGTTGTTAAAGGGATAACAAAAGCAAGCAGCTAGGTTTGCAAAAGTAGGTTTGCAGACTCAGACAATTAATACAGCATTCCTATGTACCCTGACCTCCCCCACCCCTCCAACCCCTGCTCAGTTGGAAGGATGTCAGAGGAGAAAGACAAGCATCTACATCTGTGCAACACACATCCAAAGTTTTCTTCAGATTTACCAGGATTGTTTGGGCTGAAGAATGCAGATTCCTAGCATAATTGACCTTTAACATTTTAGCTGACTGACCTCATGTTCTCTTACCTACTGATTAAAAGCCAATGCCTAATGTGGCTTCAACATTATAAAGCCAGTAAAGAGCAAAAGAAAAAAAATGTTCATATTAAAACATTCCTCACACAGGTTCGTACTGGTTTCAGAAACCTCTTTCAAATAGTACTATTGTTGGGGAAAAAATTTGAATTGTTTTTCAAGCAAGAGCTTCTTAATTGTCAAGAAGGAACCCTCAGTATTTACCTCAACTCTGAACAATGATTCTCTTTCTAACAGTAATAACATACCCAACCAGCTTTCCATCTCTAATCCTGTTATTCAAGTGTCCCCGACCTAGGCTAAGTTTGCCTTTCTAACTTTGCTTTTCCCGTGTGTTAGAGTAGAGCAGGAAAAGAGAAGTCTTCCCATTGAATTCCTCACATTTAGAGGAGGAAACAATTTCACACCTGAATCTACACACACCAATTTCAGATTCACTCCTCACCTTCACAACTTTGGCCAAGAAACTGATCTTGCCTTTAGAAAAATGGCTCCAGCCAGACTTAGGGAGAGGAAGAGGGAGGGGTAAGGTGGCTAGCTGCCTCAGATGTAAGCTTCCGGTAGGTATGACAAGGGATGCTTTCTAATATTCCTTTAATGAATGCTCATGGTTGAATGCCAGAGAGTGCTATGTATTTCATGAGCTAAGCTAATTCACACGTTATAGCAGAGTTTTAAAACTTCCAGTGGATGGTATTACAGAAAGCACAACTTTCAAACCTTGCCTAGGGCACACAAATACCCTATTCTGTCTCCTGGCCTAGTGGAAGATTTACTTAGGAGGAGAAAAGCATATGTTGGGCAACTGTAGGGGAACAATCCTAATTCCCAATGAAAAGGAAGCTTCCTCATCCATCCTGGCTGTATTTAGAGGGTTGGAGTGGGCAAAGAGTCTATAAAATTATTTTGTGTAGGGAGGAAATAAATGGGGGAGAGGGGAAACACTTAATTGAGGGAGAGCAAGGTGAGGTACTCAGACCTCTACCCCAAAAGAAACAAAAAGTAAAGTTTCCTCTTTGTGGTCTGGAGATCTTTCCTAATGGCCATGGGGTGATAGCTTTCCTTGAGTAGTTTCAGAAGATTCAAAGCAGTGTCTCCAGGGATGGGTGTTGGCATAAAGGTGGGTCTGAATAGACTTGGGGAGAACTTGGGAGCAGCTTCTTAATTTCTTATCAGGCATTCCAAGCTGTCAGTCTTCAAGAGTTTTAACAAGTGGGACTGGTTTTCCTTTGCCAGTGTGTTGTGGTAGAAACAGTGTAGGACATGGACAGACACAAGTCCAGATCCTCTCTCTGATACATACTGGTTATGCTGCCATGGGTCAAATCCCTTGATGCCTCTAAACCTCACTTTCCCTATCTGT